TGCTACCTTCTACCCACCAGGAACTGTTTTTCCTCTTCGATGCTTGTCTGCCATGCCACCCTGCCTGGGAGCCAGCTGACGGTATACTAAAACCTCAGAACTGTGAGCCAAATAAAACTTTCCTCCCTCAGCTGTACTATTTTGTCTCAGCAGGGAGAAAAATATCAAAGACAGGGCTCTAGAGTTCATAACCTACCTTAGTTGCAGTAGCTCCACATTTTTGGTTTCATTCTGTATTTTATTAGCTCTCAAATGCATATTACTCTCCGAAATTGAGTTTATCTTTTTGACCATTGGCATCTTCCACTTAGAACAAGTAGCACTCTTATCTAACATTCTGTATTGCTACATCTTACAATCCATGGCTGCTCAGATTTGGAGAATGTGAGATATTGGGGGCCATGTAAGTCTTCATTTGAAGAAAGGCCTCTAATCTCCCTGGAGGAAAATTGCTACTGGCTCATATGCATTGATTTTATACCTTAAAGACCATGACAGCCACCAGAGGAGCTATTAACCCTGTAGCTTCCTAGTCATGCGTGGAGGATTTGACCCAGCAGGGAGTTGTTGTTGGGGGTCTTCAGAGTCCCTTGTTGCTTCTTTAATAAGCCCAGAAGTGATTCTGATGCAGGGAGAGGGGTCATGTTGCTTCACAGCTGTAGTTGTGGCCCCTGAAAGTGTGTCTGAATCCCGTGGAAGACTCAGTAGAATACAGACTCTTGGGCCCCAGTCTTGGGTGTCCTGAATCAGCAGGCACAGGTGGCTCTGGAGAAACTGTACTTCTAACCGTTTCTCAGGTGATGCTGAAGTTGGTGGGCCAGGGACCGCACTTGGAGGCTCATCGGAGGAGACAGCAGATAGAATGCATCTTCTCATAGGGAGTTCTCCTTTCCTAGAAGGGAGTTTTTGCTAACTCTGCGGGGGGCGGGGTGGCGGGGAAGGAGGGGAAACAGTGTCTCTGTAGGGAGGGAAAACAATGGGTAGAGGCCTTGCTGAAAAGTGTTGCGTCTCATCAGTGGAAATGCCATTTGACTAGGCTTATTAAAACGACAACATTATTGCAAAATGATTTAAGTGCTTCATTTGCAAAGGAGCAGAGGAGGAGATGAGGAGCCATAGAGAGACTGGCTATAAATATTCTTCAAGCATGCAAAATCTGCCGGAATGCAAAGTGGGGCTTTTTATTTTCACAAGAAATCAGTGCCCCGCCATCATGTAGGAGGTTCCCATAAGGAATCAGGAGCGCTTGGAGATGTGCCACAGGATGGAGGTGTGCTTCCCTCTCTGCACTTGGTGGAGGTTCTCCTAATGTCCTATTTATAGTAAAAGACCAAGGCTCATGCACTCCCTATTTCTGGTCTCTTTAGGCTGACAGCTTCCACTTTTTGGTAAGAATTGCAGGGAAAATCCAGTAGGGACTGGAGATTTAGGTTTGAAAGTCCATTTTGCACAATGCTGAGCGATTTTGGTGATGAGTGTGGCCAGGGACTTGTGTCTAGAAAGGGAAGAGGAGGGACTTGCTGGAAGGGAAGGGAAGTCACATGACCACCGATGACTGAGCTGGGGCCGCATCCTGGGTCTCCTGACTCATAGTCCCAGGTTCCTGACAGAGTGACAGTGTCGTGCTCCCATGGGGGCTGGGTGTGGTAGCTCCCTGGTCCTGAGGACAATAAGATGGCCTGCATTTCCATCTGGCTTAGGATTCTAGACTGTCTTAGGTCTTGACTACTGGGCATGTTTCCCTGTGGGGGCATCTAGCTGCAGACGTGTTGTGGCCAAAGTGTGGGTGAATCCATAGATGGCCACTGTCTTAGTTACTTCTCTCTCGTTGCTGAGACAAAATACCCACCACTCAACATTAAGGGAGGAAATGTTTATTTAGCTCACAGTTTGTGGAGGTTTCAGCCCTCAGTCAGCTGGCTCCAAGGCAGGGTGGCATGGCGCAGGGGCAGCCATTCAAGGCTGCAGAAGGCAGCAAAAGCAACAAGAGCAAAAGCAGGAAGAGCAAGCCTCTTTTCCGCCCTTATACTGTAAGCAGGCTACCCACCCCAGGATGGGTGTAGCACTCCCTGCTCCCTCCTCTTGCATAGGATGAGGATATTTACAAAGTGAGGACCCTGGCTCCCTGCTCTGTTAAACTTCTAAACTTCTCAAGTTGACACAATGCATCAATCATTATAACCATAGTGGAGTTGACCATGGGCTCTAAGAAGAGGACACTGTTAGAATATTATCCCTGCGTTCCTCAGATTCCCCATATGAAAACTGGGGCCACAATGAGCATAATGATGGAGCCAGGGCTTGTACAAAGTAAGGAATTCGTACTGTGACCTGCCAGGGGAGGAACAGAGGGTGGAGCTGGCTTGGCATTCAGACACCAATTTTGTGCCCTTATTTCTGCGGCATTGTGGGCAACTTCTTCCAATCTCTGAGCCTTTGTCTCGTTGTTAGTAAAATGTCAATGCTAATAATGACTTGTTCTTCATAAAGCCCTGGTGAGGAGGTGTGTTTAAAATAATTTCTTGCTGCATGTTTTGTAGCAAGCTGCATCACCGCTCTTACCAATCTATGCAGTTTTAAAATATTCGCGCTCCCCCAGTAGACTGAATTCTTCAAGATAATGACACATCTTAGACATTTGTTACACACTTCAGTGTCTAGCACAAAGCATTCAGTGGAACTCAGTGAATGGATGGAGTCCTGCTGAATTTAATTACAAAAGCAACTTTTAATAAGGGATGCCTTGTTGCCGGCTGCTGTGATGTGTCCTTTACCTACATTATCTAATTTCATTTTTAAATCAAACTGTGAGGAAGGTGTTAGAATTCCACATTTGACACCATGTTCCGCATTTTATGAGGAAAATGAAGCCCAGAGAAGTGACGCGGTTTATTGAGTTTGACACAGCTGGTGAATAGGAGACTGGGATTTGAAACCAGGTCTGACTGTGATAGACACGGGGCAGTCTGTGATGTGTTATGCTCTGCCCCTTGCTGGGAGGTATGGCCCCTTCCTAACAAAAGTGACCCACTTTCCACAGACACTCCAGAGGCTGTGGGGCCCTCACTTTGTTATTCTGTACTCTCACACATTTGTGACTTTACCCAACACATGTATGTCAGCCCCTAAGCGGTGGTGTAATCATATGGTTAAGAGTGAGGACTTTCAGGCTGAGGCAGGAGGATTTTAAGTTCGAGCCCAGCCTGGACAACTTAGTGATTTAGTGAGATCCTATCTCTAACTAAAAATTCCCCAGGCATGTGCATACACACACACACACACACACACACACACACACACACACATACAGAGTGAAGACTGTGGAACCATCATCTGACTGACTGTACTTTTGTGCCTCAGTTTCCTTATCTGCCACCCTGAGGCGGTATTAGTACCCACCTCTGTGTCTTTGGGGGCCTCATGGGTGTCCCTGCACCTAGCATGGGCACAGTACTGTTCCTCTGTGGCACACTTATTGTGATCACCTTTACTGTGGTCACACTTACTGTGGCCCATGATCATTTATCACTATTACCAGTGGGATGTGCCTGGCTGGGATCCCTGCCTGGAGGAGAAATGCCAGGCGGTGCCCAGGCTGGCCACCAGTGTGTGTCTCTGGAGAACCTGGAGGTTGCCACTAAGCTGGAGATTTGTTCTGAATTTGCCCTGATGACTGAGGCCGTGTCGGGGGATTAATCTCTTGGACAAACAGCACTCAAGCCAGTCAGTACTGCAGTGGGGCCGGCCCTGCATCTGCAGGCTCCTTTTCTTTTTTGTTACTCAGTTGATAGGGATGGGAGTGGGCCATCCTTTGGCAGGGGGGCATCGGGCTCTCTTTGGCCACAGCCTAGCAAGGCCAGTTGAGGTCTGCATCTAACCTGGCCTTTGATCTGTACCTGCTGGTTATTTAACCTCATTTGCTTGGAGCCACTGCTGCCTGGTCCCATCCAGGTGGGGTGGCTCCTGCCCTGCTGATCTGTGAAATCCCAAGGGACTGAGTCACCTGGTGGATGGGGCCAGAGGACAGAGAGGTGATTATGAACTTGGGCTGGGAGGCAGGCTCTCTGGGCCGGGCTCCCTCTGTTGCTGACCTGTTTTGATCCATAGCAAATCACTTTGCCTCCCAGTGCCTCAGTTTCCTGCTCTGTACAAACCAAATAACAAAATACCCTGCCCTAAGGGTGTGGTGGACTTGACGCAGGCGGAGTGCTGAGGACCCGCCTCTCTCAGCGTGGGACAGGTGTGAGCTGGCACTCATACTTGGCGCAGTGAACACATCTTTTCTGTGCAAACTAAAGGTGCAAGAAGCCCCAGAGGGAAAGGTTTCCGCTTCCTGCAGCAAAGATGGTTTGGGGCCTGAGAATTCCTTTTCTGTAATTTGTTAAAGTAATAATTTTTAATGGGCGTGTGGAGGTTATACGTATCAATGGGGCACAGGGTGGCATTTCAGTACATTTGTGTGATGCGTGATGAGAGGATTGGAGTAATTAGCACCATCTACCAATTCAAATGTTGACCATTTGTTTGTGTTGAAAACATTGAAAATCCTCTCTGCGAGCTGTTCTGACATGTACACAATGTATTTCTGCCAACTGCAGTTACCCTATGGTGCCATAGAACACAAGATGTTATTCCTTCTAAGCTATTGCATCCCTTGTCCCGTTAACCATACTTTCTCCGCCCTCCTCTCTCCTTGCCAGGCTTTGGTGTGGGTTGGAGAATTCTTGACTATAAGAGCTGAGAACAGGGTCAATCCAAGAACGTGGGTGTCCCATGGTTTGTCTCCCCACCTTGATTGTGAAGTAGGTGCTTATATAATGTCCATCAGATCCATGACTGACCAGTGACAGTGACACCCCTAGAGACCCTGTGTGTGCTCAGAATTTAACTTCCATCAAACCCAAGTACCCACTGGTCTTGGATACTTTTCTCTCATTGCTGAGACAAAATTCCTGACAACCAGAATTAAGGAAGGAAAGGTTTCTTTAGCTCACAGTTTGTGGAGGTTTCAGTCCGTACTCGGCTGGTTCCAAGGTGGAGTGGCGCAGGGCAGAAGGCAACCATTCACGGTGGTGGAGGACAGCAAAGGCAGCCAGAGCTAAAGGGAGGAGTGGCGGCAAGCAGCCTCTTTCTCTCCCTTACATATGCAAACTACCCGCCCCAGGGTGGATGTAGCACCCAAAATCCCAGCCTTGGATCATGGATCAACCATAGACTCTAAAAGCCCAACCCATGACTGCATGAGGCTTTGGGGGGACATGCAGACACAAACCATAACACCACTGCTGTCCCAAGTTGCAGATGATGCCTGTGCACAGATACCTTCTTGCTCCCCAACTCTGTACAGACTGTGCAACCGCATTCATCCGTTCCCATCCCCTTCTCTTCAGCAGGCCCTTGAGTCATTGTCCCTAAGAAGAAAGAGCATTTCTGCTGAACCGGCCAAGTGGCAGATCCAGAGAGGTTTACACAGTCCTTCCTAGTTAATTGGTCCTCAAATACTCTGTGAGGACCCTTCTGAGTTCGCAGTCCAGGCTCCCCTCATTAAATTGGTTTTTGCTTTGCATTTGTCTAACAGCTCTGGGCTTGGTGCCCGTTCCTCCCTCCATGGACAAAGCTGCTGGGCCCTACTCTGTGGGAAGGGGCAGAGACCTGTAGGGACATGTGTAGGTCAGGAACTACTTGTCTCTGTGAAAGACTTTCTGTCATTTACTCCATTTGAAAGGCCTAATTGTCCTTTGGGCTCCAGACTTTGGGTTCTGTGAAACTCAAAATTAATTCATTAAATTAATTTTGGGTTCCCTTTGCTCTGGCTGATTAGCACAAATTAAATTTCACACTAATTGGGTAAGGTGAAGAGAACACACTCCCTGTACTTCGGATTGATGCTGTTTTCTGGGATGAGATGGTGGAGGGTATGGGTGTGACCCAGTCGGTCCAGAGGGCATTGTAGACATTGCAAATCTGCACTCTCCTAGATGCTTTTGCATGATCCTAAATAAATCTAACCCACCCCAAAGCCAAGGGTGAGCCCCAAACTAGGCAGAGGGAGAGCCTGGCAAGTTTTGTAGGGCTAATTCTTAAACTTTGTTGAGCATAAGAATCACCCCAGGGCTGGTGACATGCAGATTCCTGGGCTGGGCCTTAGAGACTCTGGTGTAGAGGACCTGAGGGTCCTGAAATTTGCATTTTAGTAATCACCCCAGGCCACTGCAATGCAAGGGCTTCTCCTGTACACTTTTAGACAGCAGCGAAAGGGAATCTTCCCAAAGGCCACCTGGAACATCTCACCTGTGACCCAGCCATTACTTGGATCTGAGGGATGTGCGTTCCCATCTCAGCTCTGCCGCTCACTTGCTGTGTGACTTTGGAACCACCCTCCTCTGCAGCTTTCCTTTTATTTTTGTTTCTGTTGAACACTGAGTTTTGGTCTGAGTGCTTGCCGAGGTGGTCAGCAGGGTGGGATGCTGATGGGCTGGAGGAGGGAAAAGATGGGAAACATAAAATGTACAGAGCAGCCCTTGTTTTTCCAGCATTATTTTTGACTCTACTTGGAAGGTATTGTATTTTGTTTTCTGATTACAAAAGTGCTATAAAAAATGAACAGCATGGAAATACATCACAGGGAAATTGGAATCCCCTGTGAACTGACCCTTCTGGGGAAAACATCCCTATTAACAGTTAGGGAGCATTTTGTTCTGTGCAAGTACAAGCAAAAATGGGATCACGCCAAACATTCTGTTCTGCAACTTTGCATTCTTTCCCCTTTGATAGCGTACCTGGGGATTTGTGTTTCATGTCAGAGCACATCCCTCTTCAGGGGGCAGCTGGGAGGTTTGTGAGCTCACCCATGAGCTGACAGTGTTGATTCGGACTGGCTCTGAAGGGCAGTTATCTTCAGTGTTGTGAGGACCACTTAGCTTCTGCCTGAAAACATGTTCGGTTACCCCTAAGGACCAGTCATGATGCAGAGGGTTTGTTACCGCGTAGATTGCTTCTAGAAAGTTGCCTGCCAACTAAATGTTACTGGGTTCTGGATAGCTTGGCTCTCCTTCTGAGACTGGATTCCAGGTTCTTCTCGCCTTAAACAAAGAAGGCGAGAATTGAATTGAACCCAGAAAAAGCAGTGGCAAGGTTTATTCAAGAAACCGAAAATGAAGTGTAGCAGAGAAACTGGCTCTGCAGAGTGAGCTTAGACTGGGTAAATAGAAAAAGAGGGTGAGAGCAAAGATAAAAGTAGGCTGCGTTTGGGAAACAGCGTGGACTATCATGGACAGTTTTGATAGCAAAGCCTCATGGCATCCATGTGTCATTTTATGCTGTCTAAATCTTGAGGAAACCCACCAAAACTTCTACTCATGGTTCCTGAGAGGCTGTACTGGGAACCCACACCTCAGGGTGAGGTCAGGACTAGGCCATCCCATTGAACACCTTGCTTGAGTTCTCGCGAGAAGTCCACATTTAGGGCTCTGGTAACTGTTCTGCGCATGTGTCTGAGATTTCCTAGTTAACAGGTCACACCCACTTCTCCGGCCAGGTTTTGCTACATTCTAATGTCCTATCTCACTCAGGATGATGGGTCAGAGAGGTGCTTTGATATCTTTGCACAGGTGTTGTATAGAATCAGAATGCATAGAGGACATTAAATCTTCCCAATCCATTTTACAGCTTAGCTGACCAAATGCTCAGAGGGAGAGAGAGACTGTCCAAGATCAGGCACCATGTTTACTACTCTGGCTGTACTTGAACTCCGTACTAGGCTTCCTTCTTCATTTCTTTTTCCATTATATGTCTCTTCTCTCTTTTTCTTTTTTTCTCCTCTCTTCTCTCCCCTCTCCCCCCTCTATGTCTCTGTCTCTGAGTTAGGATTACCGATATTTACCACCATACCCGGTTCTCTTGGATGTACTTTGTTTTTTTGGTACCGGGAATAGAACTCAGGACCTCGCTCTTGCCAGGCAGGTGCTGTGCTGCTGAGCTCTGTCCCTTGCCCTCTCTTGGATGTCCTTATCTTGTATAACTATACGTAGAGAAACGATCACTACAATCAGGAAAATTAATAATCCAACATCTCATATGTTTATGTTTTTTCTTTTCTTTATTTTTTGGTGGTGAGCATATTTGAAACCTACTCTTCAGCAAATTACTTGCCTCTTGTCTTTAGCAGCTGCTTCCCAGAGGTGGCAGCATCAGTTTCATGAGCTGCTCCGCCTTTGCACAAGGGTGTTGCTGAGCTCTGTGGCCATAAATGCTCCACTAAAGTGCTTCTTTTCTGGCTTTCTTAGTAATATCTTTGAACCCTGAGTGCTGTGTTTCAGAACGGTAATATCACAGAAGCCCTGACCCATTTGTCATTAGTAGATGACTGGTTACAGGTAATTGGAAAGCAGAAGCAAAGATCAGTCAGTGCAAGCAGAAATTTATAAGAAATAATTTTTCTTAATTTCACACACGTATACCTCCAGCCCTGCATCACTTAGGCAGGACCACAGCCTTTTGCCTTTGCACAAACGTCTGACTCAAGTTGTGCTTCTTCTCTTAATCCAGTCCCTTAATATTCAACCATATAATTCCCGGCTTTGACATCTTTGAAACAGATTAAACAGCAAAGTACTATGAATGCAGAAACATGATTTTTACTTCTAGTTTTTTATATAGTATTTACACCTTCATCTGTTTGGCAGGTTTTTAAAAGCAACTCACCTCTTTTAAATCCTTCTAAAGCACTCTGCGTCATTGTCATGGGAAGTCTTTTTCCAGCTGTATTTTCTAGGTTAATGGAATAGCTAACTGAAGAGATGATTATAGTGGAAGTGTAGCTGATGAAACAGGTTGGGAACACTCACAGTGGACACTCAGCGTACATGGCTACAGTCTGGTAGAGGCAGATGACCCACGGGGACCTGTAGAAGGGTTTTAGACTGAGGGCATCTGGTGCAGTGTGCATCAATCTATTCCTGTGTCTTGAGGGACCATGATGCTCACTCTTGCAAGATGGTTCAATAAAGGATGGTTGAGAAAAGCTTCCATTAAAATATTTTTTGTTGAGCATTTACTGTGTGCCAGACACTATGCTAAATTTTTATGGATTATCTCATTTAATCCTGAAAACAATTCTCTGTGTTATCCCACCTGTTTTAAAGTTGAGAAATCTGAGAATCAGGTAAACTTGGTTTAAGGTTATGCAGCTGACCAGTGTTGGGCGAAGAATTATACCATACCAAGACTGATAATGTTCTCAAGTCTGTGTTCTTAACCCCATGATTATGCTTGAGGGCCTCATTTTCCCTGGAAACTAATGGTTTGGCCGATGTCGTGTTGTGGAGTGTGTGTGGGGAGGTTTGGTGTCCCCAGTAAGTGCCTTTCTCTGACCAGCCCACCCTTCACCCCAGATTGCTGACTTGACCACAGAGCTGGCTGATGAGCGCTTCAAAGGTGATGTGGCCTGCCAGGTGCTGGAGAATGAACGTGCGGAGCGGCTGCAGGCCTCCCGGGAGATTCAGGAACTCAGAGTGAGTGCTCACGCAGGGTGGATGGTTCTGATCCCCCGTGCTCACATTGGGACTACTATACTTAAGCAAGACATGCAGTTCACTCACTTCCATGCTGAAGGTTCCAAGTGACTGCTGGATCTTTCTCAGCCATGGTCTTGGAGGTGCCATAAGGAGATAGCCAGCTTTAACTTCTATCCAGCTTCAGTTTGGATGTGCATTAGTCCATTTTTGTTACTGTAACAAAATACCTGATGTAGGTTTCTTTAGAAAGAAAAGAGGTTTATTAGCTCAGTTTTGGAGACTGAGAGTCCATGATTGGGCATCCCTATTGATTTGACTGCTGCTGAAGGCCTAATGGCAGAGCCTCATTGTGGGAGGGTGTATAAGAGGGAGAGATCCCAGTGCCAGACAGGAAAGCAGAATGAAGGGAAGGCTCCAGAGTGGCTCCTTGTATAACAACTTTCTTGCAAGAACTCAGAGTCCTGAGAGCACTGCCTTAGTCCATTCTGAGACCATGACCCCAGTGATCCAAGGACCTTCCACTGGGCCCCAGCACTTTACATCACATTGGGTACCAAGCTCCCATAAACCCTTGGGGACCAAACTCAAACATTCAAACTGAGGCAGACCTTAAAACCTTTCTTCCAGAGCAAGTATGAACAAGTCCAGAAGAATTTTGGAGAAGTGGAGAAACAGTTGGAAGAAGCCCAGCAAAAAATCCAGTTGAATGATTTGGAAAGGAAGCCCACTGGAGCGGGTGAGCAGCCTGAGGCCTCAGGATGGCGGTGGATGCTGATAGACAAAGCTACCTTTTCATTTCACTCCCTGACTCATTCATTCACGCACTCATTCATTCATTCATTCAGATGCGCACTGAGCACTTACTATGCATGAATGCTGCATTAAGCCCTGGGACCCAGGCTGAGCAGATAGGCAGAGGCCCTGCCCTTTTAGAGGTTCCATTCTAATGCAACAGGTAGCTATTGTACAGAGATTCTAACAATACCCCAAATAATACATTACTAGCTGGGCTTGGGGACACGTGCCTGTAATCCCAGCACTCTGAGAGGCTGAGGCAGGAGGATGACAGTTTGAATCCAGGCTGGACAGTTTAGAGACCTAGTAAAACTCTGAAACAATAAAAAAGGTCTGGGGATGTAGCTCAGTGTGAAGGCCCTGGGTTCAATCGGTGGTACTGAAAAGCAAACGCCACAATACAAAATAAAAAAATATCATCAATGTGGCAGGTGTATATAATGCAAGACCAATAAAAATAACGCCTCTATGAAGAAAAGTGTGTTATATTCATATGACTATTTTTTAAGTGTACATTTTGATGAAGATGGTTTCATGGTAGAACCCATGAAGTTACATTTCTGGATTTGAATCTTGACTCTATCTCTCATTGGATTGATGGCTTTGGGCAAAGCTATGGTCCTCATTTTTCCAGTGGAGAGAGTGGTGGATGATTAGAAGAGGGGTTTGCCCACAGGTGTGGCACAGAGTGCCAAGAAGCTTTTAGCTGCTGGGTCATTATTCTTTGGAGAAATGATGGGGTCATTTCTCATGCTCATAAGGGCCCATGAGCAGATACCATCAATTAGAAGGTTACATCGGGGCCTGTGGTGGGAAGGTGGGAGAATTCCTGCAGTCCTCTGTGACAGACATGCTCTGTGGTGCCACAGGTTCCTGGGCCTGCCCTTTTTACACAGCTGCCTGGGGTGTGTCTTTTATGGGTTGTTGGCATGGTGACATATTTGTCAACTTGCCACTCAGCTCCTCCTCTCCCCTGCCAAATAGAGTTGGGCAAAAAGAATATGCATTGTGTCAGCCTGGAGGAAATGCTGACATCATACCTTTCGTGTCCCCAGAGAGTTTATGCTCCTGTAATGTCAGGGACAGTCAGAGGCATAGCAGTCAGGAGTCTGTGGAAAGCAGACCAGGTACCTTGGCTTTTGACTGTACTCTGTCCTGCATGTATCCTGGCTACGCTGAGGGCAGGTGTTAATCAGAGAGGTTAACACGGCAATTTGAGATTCTCTGAGGAGGGACAGCCAGCAAGGCAGAGTGCCCATACCAAGTGGGGAATCTGTTGGTGCAGGACCAGCAGTGTGGGACATACAATCTCTGCAAAAAAGTCTCAGCACTGTTCCCATCAGACTGAGAGTCAGGTCTGAGTATAGTCCCTAGGTTGGTTTCCTCTGAAAAGATCAGGGAGTTGATGAGATGAGGAGACACGCTTAGCTTAGGAGCACATTAGTCACAATGCTAAATAGGCTCTCAGCTCTGCATGCTCATTCTGGGAAGATGCCTGACAAATATTTTGTTTTTCATTATGAAAGTAATGCATACTCATTATAAAAACTTTCTAACACATAGGAAAGTTGAAAGAAGCAATGAAACACTTTAATTATACCACTATGATGGCACTGTACCCTCTTTCTTTGGGTCACGCTGGAGTATTAATTGTAAAAAAATATGGTTTTTATTTATGCATGGCTAAATATTTATAGAAAGCTTTTTATGATGTGCCCTCTGCTCTGAGCTTGAACATGTTGGGGTTACAAAAGAGTTTTAGTGTTTGACCCTGCTCTCAAGAAGCTTGTGCTAGAAATGTAGAGATCTGACAAAGCCAGGGAGAAGGTGACTGGAAAATGTGGAGCTGAGTTACACACACTAATGACGAGTCCCACCCTTGGGTCCAAAAGCAGGAGACAGAGGCGAGCTGTGGAGATGGAGAACATGTTGCTCACGCACTCCCGCCATTCTTGTTGAAGCTTGCAGCACAGGGTGTGGGCAACTGCAGAAGTGCTTCTACTACCTTCTCCACCTTCACAGGCCCATGTCTCCCCAGTGGGGAGATGGAATTCTTTTCTATCATGATAACATTTCCCTTGGCGGAAGCTGGGACAAATTTTAACTCCTTACTGTTACGTCATCTTTTTTTTGGATTCCTGATGTGGAGTCACCTTTTCTAATACCTTGACCCTGCTATGCATCCATCTATCCATCCATCCATCCATCCATCCTCCCACCCTCCTCCCACCCCTACCCCCCACCCATCCACTCATCCATCCATCCGTCCATCCTCCCACCCTCCTACCCATCCACCCATCTACCCATCCATCTACCCACCCATCCACCCATCCATTGATCCATCCATCCACCTACCCTACATCCATCCATCCAGCCATCCATCCATCCAGCCAGCCACCCACCCACTCATCCATCCATCTATCCATCCACCCTACATCCATCCATCCAGCCAGCCAGCCAGCCACCCACCCAGCCACCCACTCATCCATCCATCCATCCATCCATCCATCCATCCATCCATCCATCCATCTATCCACTTATCCATCCATGCATCCATCTATGGGTGTGGCTGGATGATACAGGAAGAAATGAATGGTCTTTAAAGCTCTCTATTTGGGGTTTCTACATCTCCATTAATTTGAGGGGTACTATTCTGTTATTCAGATGGTCAGAAAATAATGCATAACTGAAGTGAACCTTTTTTATTTAGTTGTTTATTAAGTTTATCAGTACAATTTAATTGCACATAATGATCGCATTCATCACATTGCACCTATACATGATGTATTTTAGTTCCTCTTTTTTTTCTCATTTCCCTCCCCTCCCTTCAACTCTTCTTCTCCTCCTTATTCACAAAGCTTTGTTTCTATATTACCCTTTTTTCCATTTTTGTCTTTTCTCGTTTTCTTCCTGCCCCAGTTTCCTTTTCCTTTTGAGCAGTTTCTTCCTATTTCACAATATCTATTATAAATTTTGGTTCTTATTTATTTACACTTTCAGTTTTTCATGCCAGAGAGACAATGTGGTATTTACATATGTATGTGTCCAATTTATTTTAAGTGTGTGGTTTCAAGGTGCATCCACTTAGCTATAAATATCTCAAGTTTATTGTTCCTTATGGCTGAGTAGTACTCCATTGTATAAAAAATCACATTTTTTTATCCATTCATTGTTTGATGGGCATTTTGATTGCTTCTTATTTAGCTATTATAAACTCTGCTACTATAAACATAGATGTGCATATATGGCTATAGTATGATGCTTTTAATTCTTTCAGAAAGATACCAAGAAGGGCAATAGTTGGGTTAAATGGGACCTTTAGTCCTAGTTGTTTTTTTTTTTTTGGTACCAGGAATTGAGCTCAGGACCTTGTGCTTGCCAGTCAGGCACTGCATCGCTGAACTATATCCCCGGCCCATAGTCCTAGGTTTTTGAGGAACTGCCACACTGATTTCCACAGTGGTTGCATCAGTGTACACTCCCACCAACAGTGGAGAAGTGTTCCTTTTCTCCCACAGCCCCGTCAGCGTTTGTTGTTGGTTGATTTCTTGATAATAATCATTCTTTCTGGGGTGAGATAGAATCTCAGCATTGTAATTTGCATTTCTTGAGTGATAAGTGATGTTGAACATTTTTTCATGTATTTATTTGCTGTTTGTACTTCTTCATCTGAGAAGTATCTATTCATTTCAGATGCCCATTTTTGGGTGGGTCTTTAAATGGGGGATCTTATTTTTTCAGTTCTTTATATGTTCTAGATATGAGGCTGAGAAACAACTGGCTAAGATTTTTGCCCTTCTGTGGGTTGTTCTTTTACTCTCTTAGTGACTTATTTCTTTTGCTGTGTAAAAGCTTTTTAATGAGATGAGATCACAGTTGTTGATTATTTGTGGAATTTCCCAAGCAATCAGGGTTTTGTTCATGATGTCCTTGCCTACACCTATGTCTTTTATTCAGCCAAAAAGTCTTAATTAAGCCAGTAAATAATTTTTTTGGGAGGGAGAACATTACCAAATAAGGGATTTGAACCCAAGGCCTCATGCACTCCAGGCAGGTGCTGTAGTACTGAACTACATTCCCAGTCCTAGGGCAATTCCTTTTTGTTGGGCTCATTAGGCAATGGGTGAGTTTGTACTAATAGGTATGAGGGATCTTCTGTGTGTAGGAAACACAGGATGTTAGGAACTCACAGATAACTAAGCAGCTCCCTTGCCCTGAAAGACTATGAAATTTCTTTGAAAATAAAATGAGTTACTGGTAGAGTCAAACAGTGGGAAGCAACTGATTTTGAATAGTTAAGCAATCAAGAGCTTTAGACAGCTTCCTCCAAAACTAAGTTCCCAGAAAAACCCCAAGGTTAAAGAAAACTGTTTTCTACATACTGATTTTATATGTGTATATCTTGGTGAATGTCGTTATTGCTTATCATATATTAATTCTCTTGGTTTTGTTATCCTGACATTCATATAATCTAATAGACATTGTTTTTTTCTTTCTTTTCAGTGTTTTAGCTTATGGTTTCTTTTTTTTATTTTAATTTGTTGACCAGAATTTTCAGAAAATGTCGAATAGTACTGATAATAGCATGCATTTTTATGGTGTTGGCGCTGGTTTAATGGCTGCTCCCAACGTGGCTGTAATCTTGTGATTCTCAAGAGACATCCTGAGCAGTAGGTACACACAGAAGGAAGAGTGCAGGGAAACAGCCCGGTTCTTTAATAACAAATTATCAAGTCGGGTCAGTTTCCCCAAGGAAGGGGGAATATTCATGCTACATTAAAAAGTAATAAAACTGCATTAATTCTTATTTCTGAATTTTTGATGTTACCTTTTAGTATCCTTCTTACCAAAAATTTTGTTAAAGGTGGTGGTGTCTGTAGCTTGCAAAGCTCTGTGTTTTAAAAATTACTAATAAATATCGAAGTTAATTTAAGAAAAGAACTTTAGACAGCTGGAGGTGGTCAGGGCAGGTTGCCTGGAAGAAGTCAGGTTTTTAAAACATTTGGACCCAAAGCAGTTTCTTGATTTGAAATCCCAAGTTGAGGTCTGAGGGCTCCACTAACACCGTGCAATTGCATGTAAAGAGCTGAGAAAGTAGAGATGGCCACTGTCATTCTCGCTCTGCACTCACGCGGCTTCCCACCTCTGTGACACAGCGGACGAGTGGCAGATGCGTCTGGACTGTGCTCAGATGGAAAATGAGTTCCTCCGCAAGCGTCTGCAGCAGTGTGAGGAGAGGCTGGAGTCAGAGCTGACGTCCAGGAAGGAGCTGGAGCAGAAGGTAAAGCGAAGTGGAGAGCCTGGGCCACAGAGGGGTCGGGTAGTGGGCAGATTCTTACCTGCGCCGTGGGTGATCACAACGTCAGGTGATCCTGGGGGTGGGGGATGACCAGCTGGTTCATGGCTTCCTGCATCTGCTGCTGTTACAGTCCTGGCCACTGTGGGATATGGAAACTGTTTTGTCTACATGTGGGTCTTCTCAGGGTGAGACTGCTCTGGGGCACACATGACATGAACATTAACTCAGGATATCTGAGTTCCAATTCCTTCTCTGATTGGACTGTATGGAAATCACATTACCTTTTAGGCTTTCTCATCTGTAAAAATCACTGCAATATACTTTGAAAATAGTCACATTTTATGCATTGCCATTGTCTCTATGCTAATCATCTACCTCTATGTCTGACGCAGGCCAGAGCAACAGCCTCATAACTGGCCTCTTGCCTCCAGCCTCTCCCCTCAACCCCCTGCCACACTGCATCCGAGATCTCACAGAGTCACTTTGAGATGGTTCTAGCTTTGCATGTTGCCTGGATTCTCAAGGTGGATTTCTTTCCCTGTGCTTTCAAGTTTTTTTTTTTTTTTTCCGGGAATAGAACTCAGGACCTTGCGCTTGCCAGGCAGGTGCTTATGCCACTGAGCTATATCCCTGGCCCTTAAGTTTTTGATTGTGAACCCATCTTCACCATCTCCCACCCAGTAGTAGCATGTTTTCTGCTACGTGGAATGTTCTGTGTTTCCCCTTCTCTCATAGTGAATGTGTGTTTAACTATTTTTTCTTGTAAGTTGATCTCTTGCAGGAGATTTTAATTAAAAAAAAAAAACTTCTTGCTAATTTTAATGGGAACCCTTCAATACTAGGACGTGGGACTGTTCTTTTAGAAAACACTCTCACACTTTCCCCTGAAATAGTCCCTGTGATGATACTATATTCTCTGTCTAGGATTTTTGCAATATATGAAAAAGGGTTGAAAGTTGATCTCTAACCCGCATGAGGAAGACACGTGAGGTTTTGAGTTCATGTAGATGTGATTTGTGCCCCTCCTAGAGCCAGGGTGGAGGGATGCTTTCTTACCACCTTCCAAGCCAGTGGGGAGAGGCTGTCATTGTCCCTTCTTAACCGAGCCACTGCTCTTTTGGGGTCCCAGCAGGGCGAGGGTCTTTCTTCCAGCTCTCCATGGGCCCAAGGCTGTGGCCCCCATTTCTAAAAGGGGACTTGTGCAGAAACTTCCCCTTAGAAATATTTCTGGATCTACCTAGTTTCCTTTCCTTCATCCTGATTGCCACAAAACCAACATCTACCATCACGGTTCTGGCTGACTCCTCTGAATTTCTTTTATCCTGAAATTTCCCCGTCTTCCTTGAAAATGAAACTAGATATTGGAAATATAATCTTACTTGTCTGTAATAAAATCTTGCCTAGTCTTTCTAGCTGAATATAGTGTTGGCTTGACCTCTTTTTCTGTCTTCTATTATCTCTCATATTCTGTCTAATACTCTAACTAGTCTACACGCTAACCAGTGGTGCACTGGCAAATGGTTCAAAGGACCTGATTTGCGGCCTTCTCCAATTCCCACGATATACAATACTCCCACGTGGCCAGTTTCAGATTGCTACTGCACGTCACCAAACCTTGAAACTGGAAAAGACACGTAGAATTGGAGCTCAGTACAAGCTGATTCTAGCACTCTATCAGCTCTAACCATACTGCTTTTTCCTTCTTCTTCCTGAAATGCCTAATTCTTTCTCACTCCTGGAACTTTGCACATGCTATTTCTGCTTTCCAGTAAGCTCATTCATGCTCTCCTTTCTGGATATCTCCACATAGTCTTAAAATTGAAGATTAAATATCACTGTCTCCAGAAAGTCTTCACTGACACAGCTGAGCTGGGCGTTCCTGAAATGTTTCCCCAGACCTAACCCCTGTTGTGTTGTATTGTAACTATGTTTGTTTCTTGGTTTCTCCCATTAAATGTAAGAGGCATAGAGTTGGAGGCTTTTATGACTGCTCTTACTCTTACATCCTCACTGTGAGAAGAATCTATGATGTGGTCAGAGTGGGGGAAGGGAGATCACGTGGGACCGTATGACCCACAGAAGTGAAGCTCAGTGTCCTCCCTGGTGTTGGCGCTGGTTTAATGGCTGCTCCCAACATGGTTGTAATCTTGTGATTCTCAAGAGACATCCTGAGCAGTAGGTACACACAGAGGGAAGAGTGCAGGGAAACAGCCCGGTTCTTTAATAACAAATTATCAAGTCGGGTCAGTTTCCCCAAGGAAGGGGGAATATTCATGCTACATTAAAAAGTAATAAAACTGCAACCTTCTCTGAGCGGCAGAATATAAGAAAACATCCCATTTGCCTTCAAATACTGAATTTAGAATTACAGGCTTCATTAACTCAGAGCTTTGCTTATTTAAAGCAATTCTTTAATGAGACCATTTCTCCAAAGCGAGTGTGCTGAGTTGTTCTCTTTCCCAGATGTAAAGTAGGACGTTTGGGAAGGTGTTTCCTAGAAGATGATGCAGGCGGCTTTTCGTGTGTGTCTGTTGCAGGCCACATGCACACCCTGTGATGCACCCTGCCCAGCACGCCATTCCCTGCTCTTGTCTTTGGGACCTGCCACTTTGGCTTCCTGGGCAGGAAGAGGCACACAGGGTGCCTCTTACCTAGTGTGTCATTGTGGTAGTTCCATGGCTGAACCTTCCCAGATGACACTAGCTGGTAGGACAGGAATTATCCAGTGCTCAAGGGGCTGACAAGCTGAGTCAGAGCAGGTAAGACATGTATGGGTGTGTTGCCAGGAGACTGATTGTGGAAGAGCAGAAACAACCTTAAGAGCTTGGGGGAATTATCCCTGTTTTGCCTTTCAGCAATGTGAGGCTCAGACAGGAAGCTTCCAGGAAGTGACACCAAAAGTAGTCAAGGCCAGGTTACCGTCTCTTGGGTCTCCTTTCTTACCATGACTTTTCCCATAGAAATGGCACAGACGGAGTCAGGTAATTCATTCTGTTCCTCCCACAGCTCGGAGAGCTGCAGAGTGCTTACGAGGAGGCCAAGAAGACAGCACACCAACTGAAGAAGAAGTGCCACCATCTTACCTGGGACCTGGAGGACACTCGCGTGCTGCTTGAGAACCAGCAGAGCCGGAACCATGAGCTGGAGAAGAAGCAGAAGAAGTGAGTCATGTCCCATTCCATCATCTGGGGCTGCCAGGTTTGCTGCACTGGTGTGGGGGTCCTATGGGCCTCTGGATTTTCTTCAAGAGCCGCCTCACCCCTGGTCCATGGGGCTTAACCCTCTCATTCTTTCCTCCCTTTTCTCTCTCTCTCCCTCACACCTTATTTCCGCACAGTTCTCTACAATTCCAGTGTGGCTCTTTCCCTTACCCAGCCTCAGCCATGGCCTTGTGACTTTGGCCACCAGAGCGTTAGCTGTTCCATTTGTCAAGCGAGGAAGGGTTCATAGAGCTTCTGTGAGACCATTCCAGTTCAGGCCCCCTGTGTGCCTCTTTCTAGTTGTGTGATTTTGAGCTGCTTCTCCGGCCCTTCTGGACCTGAGATTGCTTATCCTACCTGCAGGTTGCAGGTGAGGATGCCTCGTTGTGGTAAGAGCTACTTAATAGGGTTAGACATCCAGATGGACTGAATTTGGGTTTCCATCCCCAGTGTTGGAAATGGTGCAGGAAGATCGGGGGGTGGGGAGCAAGCAGCAAAAACTGGTCTCCTGCTCTTCTCATTTGGAACTTAGACTCTCAGATCCTAGGAGCGAATCTGACAGGGACTGGACCCAGTGCCTCCATGAGATGCCAGCTCTAGAGGTGCGCAGGGGCTCCATACTTGCTTCCTGTTGTGATGCTGCCCAGCTAAGCCATCATGGCTCCTGGGTGGGTTCTCGGCCACACTCCTGGGCTCCCCTGTGCAGATTGTCAGCGGAGGCTTCGTCCCTGGCCATTGTGGCCGTGTCTGCCACCCTCCCATTCTCTCAGGAGGGGAAAGGTGTACAAGAGGCTCCTGTGTTGAATTTGGCAAGACAACCATAGAGACTCCATAGGAGGCAAACAGGTATAGTGCAGCCTCTTTTTAGAATATTCAGGATAAAATACAGGAAAACATTCCTCTGGGAGCCAAGATGTAGTTTTGCTGAAGGTGCCTCTTTTCCAAGAGGTTTCAGGCAGCATTATATCCAGGGGGGTGGCAAAAATTTCAAATTTGATTTATGTTAAATATTATTTCTTTTATTTATCCTTGAGCTTTCCTGAGCTGGCTTCTTCATCTGCAAAACTCAGCTTCTGAGTAGTTGTAGCGTGTTTCCCCCAAATAAGAGAGGTTCATTCTCACCTTACTGATTTTACTCCGTTCCCTTTTCCCTCTCCTGCTATGTCTTCTGGCCAAACTTCACGCTTGCACCTAAAAAAAATGGTCATACTTGCTGTGTGACCTTGTAAAGTGACACAACCTCTCTGGGCCAGACTGATATATCAGAGGAATCCTTGGACTTCACAGGACACTGGAGAATGGCTCTGACAGCTGCCCAGCAGTAGAATGAGCAGTGTAAACTCCATGATTCTCCAGGTTTCTTCCGGCTGTGACCCTCTGAGATCTGAACTGTGGGTGCCATTCTGTTCTGAGAGTTTCAGGTCTCTGATGGGTAGGGATTCGGCCTCTAGAATCTGTGCAGTCAGAAAAATTCCATCTCTGTGGTCATTCCCTCGTCCCCGTGGACAGCACCCCCATTCCAGAGCCTTGCAGATCCCCATGAGGCCCCGGGAAGGCCGCCTGTCTTCATGCTTGTGTTTCCTCATCTCCAGGTTTACCTGTCTTGCGAGGCCCTCTGCTCTGCGGCTCCTTTTCAGCAGGAGCCAGTTTTGGTGCTCACCGCTGACGACAGATTCCATCCAGGTGGATTAGCATTTTGGCAGAAGCCCATGGGGACAGAGGAAGTCACAGCACAAGGGTGGCCATTCAGGCAGAATGGCCGTGTGAGAAGGGGCTCTAGAAACCAGCTATGCTTTCCCGCATCTTCCCATGTCTAACCGGAGTGTAGATGCAGCTGCCTCCTTGGTTTGCTGGGTCCAGAGTGGAGTGGAGTCTCTGTGCTGGTGCAGCCCCATCCCCTTCCCTGGCTTCTCATTTCAGAGTAGCCCAGAATGGATCCATTTGGAGTTGCCCTCTTGTTGCCATGGTTGTACCATGCATAGGTCACAAAGCTTAGTTCAAGGCAGATGGAATGGAACACTCAGGGCAAGCTCTGCCTCAACTCATTGGCTCCACACCCAGAGAGGCTGGAGCCCAGGCTTGCTCCTGGTGGGGTGGAGGTGCTTGGCCTCAGTGTGTTCTAGAAGCTGGGGTTCTTTGGCAACAAGTGGTCTGTTGAGTCGGAGATGCTTCTGGAACATTAGTCCCTGTGCTTCCCCCAACTGCCTCACCTCCTCTGTCCCAGGGCATGGACAGGTAGATGGGATTTGCTAGGCCACTAGGGAAGCTGGGCTCAAGCTCATTTCAATGACTCTGGGACTCCACACATCAGTTTCCTCCTCTGGAAATGGATGTTATACTGTGTCTTCCCATATTGCTGTAAGGACGACAGCAAACCTAGTGCAAGGCCTGGCACCTTGGAACTGTTGGATCACTACTGGCATCACAGTGTTTCTTTTCAGGGTAGCAAATATTGCCTCTAAAATGATGTCACCAGCAGCCAATCAGAAAGCTCCTGGGCTGTCCCAATAGTGGGTTCCAGTATGTGAGCTGTGAGTGACTTTCAGTAGTCCGAGATTTTGAAAGATCAGCTAGTGCTAGGGACATTGGATGACCTTATAACAAGGGAGGCCTTCTTGTCACTAAGGACCAAACCTCAAGTGCCACCCAAAGTCCTCTGAAGTTATGTGGCTGGACTTCCTGTTTGTGACTCCACGTCACACCTTGCAGAGACTTGGCAAAGGGTCTTTCCATAGTGTCTGCATCTGTGAGAGAGGAGAAGGCTGTGCAAACTGAGTGGAATGTAGAAGGTTCAGGAGCTGCTCCTGACCAGGGACACTATCCCGAAGGGCCAGAGGGCCCTAAGGGGCCATTCCTTAGTTCCTTGCTGCCTCTCAGTGGGACTGTCTTGTCTCTGTCCTTTCTGTGAGGGAGACCAAGACAAGGGGGAATGTCTAAATATCCAGAATTTCCTCAAAAATAGCATACTGTAATGTGCAGCAAGAAGATCATATGACATAAATAGAAACTGTGAAATATCACGTATTAGTGTGGAGACAAAGGGATGACTGTATATAGATACACATTTGTATTTGTATATACATATCTTTCTGTTTATATTTGTTCATTGGTCTTTGAATTTTAGATATCAAATGTAGGCCTGGTAGAGTTAATGGGCCTTGACATATGTCGGAAAACTAAGTAGTTTAGCTGTCTTTCTATATGTAAAATATTTGTATAACCATATATTAATATATATTTAGCTTTTGATCTGTACATCATCTTAGTCTCCTTTTGTTTGTGTATTATCAGGATTTTAATAGATAGCCATTATTTTTGTGGAATCTCCATATAAACCCTAAGTCTTACTGTGCTACATCCCAGATTCCTACCCATATCGCCAACCCTACACGCAAGCATCGAGGTCATTCTCCTCGCCTCATAGTTCTCAGAGAACTCATTGCCTCTCTCTAGTCATACCCCAGCCCTGCCTCCGTTCCCCTCCACAGGCTGTGACATGTGCTCTGTCTTGGACAGGTTTGACATGCAGCTGGCCCGGGCCCTGGGGGAGTCCTTGTTTGAGAGGAGCCTCAGGGAAAAAGTGAGCCAGGAGAGCAACAGCGTGCGGTGGGAGCTGGGCCGGCTGCAGGAGCAGCTGGAGGTAAGTGGCGGGCGGGGGGGGGGGACCATGGGGCCATCTGGGCTCTCGGTTGCTGAGTGTCTTACAGTTGGTGACTGAGAGAACATCCGGTGGGTGTCCTGGTCAGGCAGCCAGAGTCATGGTGTCCAGTGTGTCTTGATAAAACCTCTAGCGTTTGGCAGATTGATCATCAGATCTCTGCAGCTTGATGTCATGATATTGCTCCAGTCTCCTGCAGAGGACCCAAGATGACTACCTGGGAGGTATGAGAGGCTGAGTAGAAAATGAATTAGCTATAACCATGTCCAGGAACAGTGTCCTGTCCTGTGTAGATTCTGATTCAGAGGGATTTTATTAAACGATGGCATGGGCTCCTTTCTCAGCCGCTCCTTATCTTTCTGCGGCTCCTTATTACCCCCAGGAGAACTGTTGCACTCTTTAGCTTGGCATTCAACTCCTTCATGATCTAGCCCAAAGTTCTTTGTCTCTGGAGCTGGCTTTGTCACTTGAAAGGGTCATTTGCGGACACAGTGCCTCCTTGCTCCAATGGCTCTCTCCTAGCTTCGGTGAATGTATGGAGGAGCACCCTTTATGTGCTGAGACTGAACTCCAGGAGCAATGGCTTGGTTCTCCCCTGGCCCCTCCACCCCTCCCAGTGTCTGTCACACCTGAGCCAAAGAAGAGCCTTTGGTGGATCCCCAGGGGGCACTGTGGGGGCCTTGAAGTGGTGACAGAGATGTCCCATAAGAAAAGGGAGACTGCTGCTCTCTCTAGCACGCTGCAAGGACCTCCCTGGAGAAGGAGTAGCTTGCTCATGGGACCTGCCCCTCACCTCACGGGAGGGACTCAGATCTTTCCCCCTTTGTCTTCCTAGCAAAAGGAGCAGGAAACCTTGAGGCTGAAGCAGGAGGTGGAGATGCTGCAAGAGCATAAGCAGGAGCTGCTGGGGTCTCCCTCTCTAGGGGAAAAGGGCCTGGCTGGCTTGAAAGAAAGGCTCTGGAAGCTGGAATCCAGTGCCCGTGAGCACGAGAAGGTCCAGAACCAGCAGGAAAACACCATCAAGCAGCTGGAACAGGTGGGACAGGCCTGTCCAGGACAACACCCTGCCCCGGGCTGGCTCCTATGCAGAATAATGTCAGTAAATCACAGCACGGGCACCTCGCTCCACTGCTTCTTATCCTCCTGTGGGTCCCTGCTACCCCAGAAAACTTCTCTCCACTCTGACATTCAGATCCATCATGCTGTAGACCTCTCCTGCTCTCCTGAAGGTCAGCAGCACCTCCTCAGAGAACACCTTGCAAGCAGCTCCAGCCCCATGCTGCATCCACTTTTCCTCTCCTTAGTTGTTTTCCTTTGTAATATCCACTATCTGATATTATATTGGAGTGTTTTCTCAGTGACTCTCTCTCCATTAAGATAAAAATTCAGGAAGACAGGCTGTTTTTGGACCAACCTTACCTATCAGTGCATTCCTAAAGCCTAGAAGGAGAACCAGACATCCATTTAGTGCTCACTAAATAACCACTGACCAAATATATAACACTATTGAGCACTGTCTGTGTACAAGACTTGACCTTAAACTAGCCACACAGTGTCTCCTATCTTGCAAGAACTTTTTGTGGGAAATGTGTTACCCCCACTTTACAGATGTGGAAGTTGAGGCTCTGGGATATGGGAAAAAGGATGAGGATGTGATTTGAACCTGAGCCATCTGAGCACATAGAGCCTTGAATGCCTGCTGTGTGCACAGCCTCAAGGAAGAGGGGAATGAGAGTCTTCAGGAAACACCAATAAGGGAGTGAGCAGGAATATCAGATACTCCACCTACCATCACCTCCGGCAAAGTACAGGTGAAGGTTTTGTCTGCTTGCTGATTGACATGTCTGCTTCACTCCATAAAGCATCTGAAGCAGCTTATAGAGATATGTAGAACAGAATAATTCTAAGTAAAACAATCTGAGCAGGAAAAATACAAATTAAAATAGACACTGAAGAGGGGGTAGGCACAGTTAATATGGGAGACAAGAAATATATCATCTTGGACATTTAATAGCTCTAAAATGTCTAGTGGCCAGAGTTAAAAGGAGATGTGAGGAATATGTTTATGCTTATCCCCAACATAAACGAAAGCAGATTTTCAAGGAGGCAGTGGGTTCTGAGGCTTAGCTCTAAAGACATTTCTAATGTAGAATTTCATAAAAGGCAATTCTGTCTTAAAAGGTTGAGAACCCCCTATGCAAGGAAATCTAACCCAGTAACATAAATGTGTGAATCAGATGGATCTAAGCCGCTCTACTGAAGCCAGGGTGCCAGCCCTCGCATCTCGCTTGCCTTTACTCTATCCTGCAAGGTGGAGCCTTCTGGGTGCGCTGGGTGTGGAGGGTCAGGGTCTGGAGAGTCTTGGGTGCTGATTAAGGAGCAGTGAAGAAAACAGAGCATCTCTGCTTGGTCAGCCGTGCTTACTAGGCCCGTCTGCCGTCAGGCACTGTGTGAGTGCTGAGGATGCAGACATGATACCCTAAGGTTCACAGGCTCTCTCAGTGTTAAGGGAACACTGAACTTGCTGATCTACTCTTGGGAGGAGAGCTGGGGAGAGGTTGGGAAAGATCGCAGGAAAAAGCAACCTTTATTAGAAGAAGATCTTTACCTTTAAAGGAAAGCTGAGAGATGACTCAGAATTGATCAAATGAGAGTTCCAGGCAGGGGGAACAGCCAGTACAGTGGCCCTGTGACTGGAAACTCATGTGACAATTAAGAATCCATAATATGGTCACATTTGGACAGGGTCTTTGAGGCTACTCATTGTCCACATGACCTTAGCCAAGTCCTCAATATTCCAGCCTTCACTCTCCCCTGTAGTGAAATATGGAGCTGTCAAACCCCAGGCTTCCTCCAGCCTCAGCCCTGGATCTGTGAAGATTTGTGTAGAAAGGGGATGTCTATGTAGGTATTCAAGGGGCACCAAGGATTGCACAGCATAGTGTAGCTGCCCTGTGTTCTACAAGTGAGCAGGATCCTTGCTGAGCCACGAATTCAACAAGCACTTTGGAAAACTGTTTTAACCCTTGAAGACACCACCCAGGCACCCTTCAAGGCTTGGAAGCAGATGTGCACGGCGTGGCCTTGGGGACTCAGAAGTCCGTGCGACTTCCTAGTCCTCCGTCCTCAAAGTGCAGGGGCAGAGGCTGACTCGACACTTCCCTCCGCTGTTAACTTCCCGCAACCTCACCCTGCGCTGTGTCCTTGTGGATATTTATTGTTCACAATATAGCACTTTTTCCGGAGAATTTTATGTTAACTCATATAAGCCTGACACAAATGGTATTGCAGATGTCAGGAGTGCTCAGGAGACTAGAAAAAAATGAAAAAGAAATATTATATTTACTTGCTGAGCTCCTCATTTTGATTATCTTCCCATAACCTCTGTCATTTTAAGGGAAGGAAGGTGGCTGATGTTGAAAGTGAGCCTACTTTATGCTGAGGACTGTTACAGGGGGCTCAGTGGTATGCTGTCTCTTCCCTGTAACCCTACAAAGAGGGGGATACTCTCAACAATCTAAAAGATCAAGATCACGCTTATTTTCCTCTTTCTCAGCTTAATTTCCTTGATAGGGACAGCAGCTATTACTTCTTTTTTTTTTTTTGTCTTTTTGAGACAGGGTCTCGTGGTGCAGTTCAGGCCGGCTGTGAGCTCACTTTGTAGCCCAGGCTGGTCTCGAACTCGCAATGATCCTCCTGCCTCAGCCTCCCGAGTGCTGGGATTACAGGCATGCGCCACCACGCCCGGCAGCCTGTTAACTTCTGGGGCAGGGATGAACTTATGGTTCATCTTAAGTGCATTGAGAAGGGTGCTGAGGTGGCATCTAAATGCCGTGGGAGAGCACGATGGATTCCTGACGTCTCTTCTGATTGCAGGAATGCAGGAGATAGCCTTTGGGCTACTTAGCTACCATTTCAGACCTTCCAGAGCCCTCGGGGGGATAGTGTGACCCTCATCCATGCAGGAAAAATGGGCAGTGCAGTGGGGATACCCAAGATAATGGGGGAGGGCCAGAGAGTGGTAGTGGCCACCCTCACCCACATGTGCTATCCTGACTGTCCCAGCTCCGCCAGCGGTTTGAGCTGGAGATCGAGCGGATGAAGCAGATGCACCAGAAGGACCGTGAGGACCAAGAGGAGGAGCTGGAGGATGTCCGTCAGTCCTGCCAGAAGCGGGTGTGTACACTGTGGGAAGAGGAACCAAGGCTGGGGCCAGAGGGAGCTCTTTATGCATCCCCCTGGGGACCTTAGATGCCTAAGTGCTGTCAAGAGTTCAGAAGAACCTACCTTAAATGAGAATCTGGACCTTCCAGAAGCCTCTGGAGCTGGCCAGCATAGTCACCCCAAGACCACTCCTGGGAGCCCCTCATGCATGAGGGTAATGCCTTGTGAGGACTTCTGAGTATTGGTCGGGTGCTTCCCTTATTATTTTCTTCCACCTCAAATCATTTCTTACATTTTATTCATCCACTGCCACTGGTCCAAACACCGTCTAAAAAAGCTATAAACTTTGGCCATGTAGAAACCCTCTCCACCTATAAACTTTCTCCACCTAGAAACCCTCATCACTACTATTTCAAACGTTGTTTTTCACTGTATATACACTCGTACATACATGTGGACATATACTTTCACTTAATGAGGCAGGGCAATTTTGAAGCCCACAATTTTCCCTCAGCAGTTTGTCATTGCCTCTGTAAACCTAACTTGTGAAATGGGTAATGGCCTGACAGTATTCTGCTCTAATTTATTTAAATAATCCCCTGTCATTGGACATTTAGGTTGTTCCTATTCTCTGCTATTGTAACCAATGCGGAGATAAACATTCTTATAGATGACCAACCAGTGTGAGGCTAAGATGAATCCTTAAAGGGGAATTGTCCAAGCAAGACCTTTGTGTTAAGTCTCATTTAACTCTTCCCCACATTTATTCTTGCATGCCTTTCCCTCCCTCTCCCACTCCTCCACCGTCATACTTATGCACACCACCTGGAAATATTCCACAGAGCACGTTGCAGAAAATGTTGTGTGCTTGCTTGATAGACAGATTTTATTATTTTGAATGTTTTTCAAGATGTTTAGCTTTTCCAGAAAGTCTTCTAAAAGCATGTATGAGCAGAATAACTTCTATTTCTTTCTCCTAAAAGAAAATGTTGGCGTGAACTTGCTTTCTGCAGAAATGACCATCAGTCAGCACTTTTCCCTCCGTTGGTCAGGAGACGGAAGCCCCTGTCTCTGCTCGTCCTCCATCAGGGGAAGGGCACACAAATCTCTAGTTTGTCCCAGGAATGCCTTGGAGTATGATGCAGGCTGTGGCCCAGGGCTACAATGAGTTGCTGATGTGAGCCAGACCTTCTCCATGGACAGATTTATGAAGGGGGAGGGTGGTCAGACAAAGGCATTTTTCTCCTTATAACAGACGCTAACATTGACTTCACATTCTGGTGGCTGCTCTGTCTGGCCTGTCCCTCATGTGGCAGGAAATCAATTTTTAGTAGCCTGGGGGGGGCGGTGCTGTGGCCATCTGGGGAAGCTGAAAAGTTTGGAGTTAGGAGATGGAACCCTAACACCCTCAGCATGGCCTGATTTAAGAGCATGTACTTTGGATGCTCCCTGGGACTTAGGGTGCTCATCTGTGAAATGGGGTCAATAATGCCTCAAGGTAGAGATGGAGGAGATTAAATGCTACAGAAGGTAGAGATCCATTCTACTGGGAGACTTCACCATCATCTCAGGGACTCCCCATAACTGACCAGCTCTCCCTCTTGTTGCCTAGCCCCTAAGCTTTAGGGTTCTTGAGTTCTCTTTCAGACACATAGCCTTCTACTTACCAGGGCAGCTTTTGTGGAACCAAGCTATAACCTCCACATCTCCCTCTTCCCTTCTTGCCTGGTGGGACTTGTCCTCCTGGCACTTGTTCACCCTGTTCGTGCATCTGCCCTGTGTGCCTGCAGCTCCGTCAGCTGGAAATGCAGCTGGAGCAGGAGTACGAGGAAAAGCAGACGGTACTCCACGAGAAGCAGGATTTGGAAGGACTGATTGGAACCCTGTGTGATCAGGTAAGGTGGAAGCGTCGGCCTGCATTTAGAGGACACTCCCCTGCCTCTGTACTCCTTAGAGATGGATCATGGGGGCCAGCTAGAGGAAGGTCATCCTCAGGCTGCAAGAGGGGCCAGGGAACTGGCCTTTCAGTTGAACTGTCCCTGCATTCCTAAAGTGCTCTCTTTCTATAATTTTGTTTCTTCACATCCTCATTGGCTCTTTAAAGGAGACCTTTGGGTGCTGGGAAATGGGAATAGACATAGTGGGCCCGGCCAGGAGTGACGGAAGCAGCCTTGCTGCCTTCAGGGTCCATTGGAATGAGAATATGAGATATGATCCAAAAATTGTTGCCAGGTATGGTGGCACATGCCTGTGATCCCAGCACTTGGAAAGCTGCGGCAGAAGGATAGTTGTGAGTTCAAGGCCAGTCTGAACTACACAGGGAGACTGTCTCAAAAAACAAACAAACAAACACCACAAGACAAAACAAAACAAAAAACCCCCAATACACTGAACGTTCAAATTTTACAAAACTATTAATAGTAAAAGACACACTGCCATTACTCCACTTCAAAATATTACCCTTCACCTCAAACACTTAGCACATCATTCTTGCCTCTTCTGAAGTAGTTCTGAAAGTCCTCTTCTGTTTTGCCTGCCTTGATGCTTACCTTTCACGGTCACTTTGACTGTGGGGAAGAGCCGGAAGTCACATGGTGCCAGAGTCATTAAATAAGGTAGATGAACACGCACTGTTACATTTTTACGTGCCCGCCTTTCTTAGAGAGCACTTGGCAGCAGCATTCACCATATTTGTGATCACGCCTTGTAAAGACACTCATGACGGACTTCCAGAACTGCTTCAGAAAGTGGCAAGAACAATGAGATAAGTTCAAAGCATATTTTGAAGGGCACTAGTGGCAGTGCATCTTTTATTGCAATAAATTTTTAAAATTTAAATGTTCATCGTATATTTCCATCACACCTTTGTAGGCAGCACTTGCTCCGGCAGGGCGAGCGTGGACAGGCTGTGCTCATGGGTGGCCTCAGGAGGACAGGGCTTTTGCTAGAAGCAGCCTGACTCAGCATCAGGCAGATGGGGTATTCAGTCCTGGCTGGGTTTTCTGTTTCCACTGTATCCTGTGAGTTAGTCAACCACTCTGAGCTTCTGGAAAACCAGAGTCTCATGGGGATTTTGCCACCACTGAGCCCCGGGGTTATCCTCTGTGGCCCTGTGGACACTTTGAGCAGAACCCTTCTGAGCGGAGGCAAATGGCCTGTGCATCGTAGGATGTGGAGCAACAGCCCTGGCTTCTGCCCATGAGATGCCAGTAGCACCTCCCAGTTGTGACAGACAGAAATGTCTGCAGAGATTGCCAAATGTCCCCTTTGGACAAAACCAGTTTCTTCCCTGTAGAGAGCCGCTGCTGGACCAAAAGTGGCCAGCAGAGTTCAGGGACAGCCCTGACTTCAGAGTTGGGAGTTGCTCCTCCACCCTCAGTGTTCCGCTGCCTGCCTGGGGGGCTGCTGCCTGAAATCCCAGCAGTGGGGAGCAATGGGTGGGGTTCCCACAGTTGCTCTTGAAGCATCACGGCGGGTATTTTAAAGCATTTGTTCACAGGCATGTAATATCTATTAATTAGCAATGGCTCCGCTGTTGATATCTTTCCCAAAAGTGGCTTACTTTATTCAGAGAGGAATGCGGTTGCTTCAAATGGTCACTCAGGCAGCCAGGCCTTGGACTACATAAATGCTCATGATGTATTTGAGACTAAATGGAGTGAAGTAGTGACTTGAGAGCAGGGCTGCCACAACAGTGTGAGTGAGACAGAAGCTCAGGGAACCAGCAGCGGGCTGAGCCCTGACCTTCTCTGGGTTGTGTAGACTTCTAGCCGGGCATTCGGGACCTGTGAGTTCAGAGCCATTGAGTCACTTTCTTTCAGTATTCATGCGAGGTGACGCAGCGCAGCACCTGGCTCTGGGGTGACAGTCAGGCGTCCCTACAAGTTTGCCCTCATGTACCATGGTGCGTTTGAGGACGCAGGTTGGGAGGTTTGGTGAGAAAGGAGCCCCAGCGGTGGAGGGAGGTGGGCTCGGTGGGAGGAGTCGTGACGTCACGGTATGGCCCTGGGTTCCAGCCCCAGCGCTGCAAAAACAAAACAGAAGCAGCAAAACCAGTTCTGAGAAATACTGCTAAATTAAATTTTACACATAGAGAGAACCTTAGATGAATAAAATGCCAACTTTGGGTTAGTCACCAAACTGGAGGCTTTTAATAAACGGTCGCATTGGGTGATTTGAAACATTTTTGTTATGACCTTTGGAAACTCTATATAGAAAGGTAGAATGAAGGATGTAATGGATATTTATGCACCAAGCACCCAGGGCAACAGAAGTTAACATTTTACTGTGTTTGATTAGGGTGTTTTTAAGGAAACAAAATCTTTCTAGACCAGCTTGTGTGGCCCCTTGACCCCTCGGTGTTCCTTCCTAGTCTCATGTTCCTCTCCCTTCCTTCCTTCCTTCCTTCCTTCCTTCCTTCCTTCCTTCCTTCCTTCCTTCCTTCCTTCCTTCCTCCTTCCCTCCCTCCCTTCCTTTTTTCCTTCCCTCCCTCCCTTCCTTTTTTCCTTCCTTCCCTCCCTTCCTTTTTTCCTTCCTTCCTTTCCCAGAGGAAACTATTGTCCTGTGGTTTGGAGTGTGTAATTAGCATATGTATATATTCAAACTGTAATCAGGTGCAATCCATATCATTTTGTATTTTGTCCTCCTTCATACTGTTTTTGAGATTAGTTTATGATAATAATAGGAGTAACTCACATGCATTCATTTACCTGCATTAATATAAAAATCCCTTATTCTTCCATTGGTGTATATTTTCTTGTTTGCACCTTACTGTACAAACTGCATTTTCATATATGTCTCACTGTGTGTGTGGGAGTTTCCTCAGGGTGTGTCGCTGGAAGAGAAGTTGCTGGCTCCTAAAAATGCACAATATTGGAACTATTAATATCATCCAAATTGTCACTACAGGTGGCTGTGGCATTTTCCACCGTCACCAGCGGTGTCCGAGGTTTTGCGTCTCTATCTCTACCACACAGGGTACTCTAAGACACATGCGGGGCTTTTTCCAGATGTAGGGTGTCAAATGCTGCTGCATGTCCCCAGTCACCAGTGAACCTGTGCACATTCCGTGTTCACTTTCATTGTCTCTCATGTGAATTGAATATTTATAGGCTTTATCTTTTTTTCTGTAAATTATGAATGGTTCTTATATCAGCTGCTAATCCCATTTTTGATAATATAGCTTGCAAATGTCTTCTGACTATGGATAATTATTTCACTTGTTTATAAAGTCCTTCACTCAGTGCAGAGTTTTTAGTAGTCATATTAAAGCAATTTTTGTGTTTTTTTTTTCTATTTTAACATTGCTTTCCTTGATTTCATATTTTATCACGTTTCTTAAAGTTCTAAAATTTCGCCTTGTTATTATCAGGTCTTTAGTCTTTCTAGGGTATGTTGTGTGAGGTAGAAGCCTATTTTTCCTGATTGGGATAATCTTCATTTTATTTCATGGACAATTTTTTTCTACAATTTCCATTTCTCTCTGTGTGTGTTTATAGGCTTCCCATTCTAGTTTATTGGACTATTTGTCTCTTCCTGTACAAAATGGTCATCAATTGTTTTTTGGTAATGCTGGGAATTGAACCTAGGACCTCATACATGGTAGGCAAGTACTCTACCACTGAGCCACACCCCAGCCTGCACCGTGTAACAGAGCAGCTTGCCTTGTAAGTCTTTAAATTGACTTGTCTTCTTGGTCTTTTAATCTTTTAAAGATCCCATGGGCTGAAGGGGTAGCTCAGCAGCAGAACCCTTTCCTACTATGCTCAAGATCTTGAGTTGGATCCCTAGCACCACACACACATAATCAAAACCTGATGTGATTTTCACTGGAAATTCATTGATTTGTCAGTTAGTTGGGAACAATTGACTTTTTAAATTAAACCGTGGTTTTATTGATCATGCTATCTCTTCCCATTTGCTTGTGGTGTTCACTAATATTTCATTATTTTTATCTTTACAGATCTTAAACTTTTTTGTTAGATTTACTTTTAGGAGGCTTATAGTTTCTCTGGCTATTATGATTAGCATTTTTCTGTATTCTATCTTTCACTTAGTTCTTGTAGCACACGAGAGAGCTATTGGTTGTACTGATTTTATTCATTTTATATCCAGTAGAATTTATGAACTCATTGTTTTAATATTTTACCTATAGATTCTTTGGATTTTTTTACATTTATAATTTGCTGTTTAAAATAAGAATAATTTTAACTCCTGTCCATAAATTGATATAACAGAGAAGTTTAAATTTCAAGGAGCTGTTTTCCACTTTTTCTTCCCTTATTTCATGAGCTTGGGTCTTCTGGGATAGGGTTGGATAGTGGAGATCACTGGCCTCATTCCTGACCTTCACAGGCCTACTTCTGAGTTTTGTCTTGTATCTATTTTCTATGTGTTTTTGATAAATACCTCTAGTCAAGTTAGATTAGTCTTTACCTCTTGTGTTTTCTAATTTTTTTAAAATAAAAAACTAATAAAAAAATGAAGACAAAATCAAAACAACATACAAACAACAAAAACTATACATGACTTCAAAACAAAATGATAGGAATTAACAATGGTTGCTACATTACACACTGTTATCTTCAATGAAGTTGCTCAGTCCACCAGATGTAAGAATGTGATTAATCTTACATTCTTACGTGTTTTCTAATATTTAACAAAGATCTGTTGAATGTTTTAGAATGTTTTTTATGCATTTCTATGTACTTTTTATGCATGGTATGAGTAGGTGAATGAGGCCAGGATAATCCTATAACTGGTCTCATTCATCCATTAATACAGTGTATTATATTTTAAATATTACAGTGTATCCTGATGTGTTCCCCAAGTAAATCTTACTTAGTCATGTGCATTTTAATATATTGCTCTGTTGGATTGCTAATATATTTTAAGATTTTTAAAAACAGGATTGTAAGTAAGATTGATTTATAATTTTCTTTACTTATGTGTCTTTGTCCGGGGTGGAATTAACCTCGTGCGTTTATAATTACATTTGATTTTTTTTAAATAAAATTTGAGACATGTAGTTCTTGAAAATTGAAACTAATTAGCCTGTCATGACATTTGGGGCTAGTTTCTTTTGGGGGGAAGATAAATATTTGCTGTCTCAAAGTTCTGTAATTACAACTGGGCACAAATTCAGATATTTTTCTCTTCCGTAAGGAGCTAATTTTGGTTCACTAATCTATTTCTAGCCATTTATTCTTTCATTTAAGTTTCACAGAGGTTGACAAAAAGACTATTTTCATATGATTTAAAAAATCCTATTGTATCAGATTATTGCCTTTTGAAATCACAATATTGTTTACTATTGACATTATTTTGTCAATGATAGACTTGCTAGAGATTTGTCTAGAGCCTTATGAAAGCACTAGCTTTTCTCTATTAGTGTTTCTTTTTTCTTCTCTTTTCTGTTAGTCTTTTGTTCTAGTTTTCTTTCCCTTTTCTCTGGTTTCTATTTCGTTTTCCTTTAGTCTTTTGTTACATTAGTATTTTGTTGAAGTTTCAATGTTGAAAATTTAATGCACTTTCAATATTTCTTATTCTTTTAAAATTCCTTAAAGTCCTATAAAACTATTTCTAAATAAAAATTTTGTATATGTAAGACAATATCTTCCGCTTACATTCTGCATTAATGCCATCCTTACAGGCTAAGAGTTTGGTCATATCTCCTGGGCTTTCTTCCTTCAAGATGAAGGAAGATTATGCATAAATTGTGTGTCAAGTTTACTAACGTTTGGAATTAACTTTTAATATTAATTTTTAACTTGAGACATTTCAGAGGGAGAACATGCTGGAATGCCTAATATTTTTCTTCAAAGTTGTTGAGATCTCTTTGTTTTCTCAGTTTATGGTCAAACTTCATAAACTACCAGATGGAAAAGAATGCAGGTATTTATGGGGCATAAGATTCTATACATGGCAAATAGATCAAGCCTTCTAATTTTGATTCAAATATGACACGCAAATATAAAATTATAAACCATAAAGAAAAACTTTAAAAAGGCATAGCCATCTTTTTAAAAAGAATCACCTCTGTTAGCTTTTAATTTTACTTGCTTGAGCTGGTGCTAAGAGAGTCCTTCTGCCTGTTTAATATGATTGAGGCTTGTCTGAATTTTGTTAATAATTGTTACAGTTTCTCTTCATATATTAGATGGCTGCATATGTAGGTGTATAGAAGTTTCATATTGTTTTATACCCTTGACAGACTGTTTGGCTACTTTATGCTGTCTCTTTTTCCTAGTTTGCCTGTAAGACTTTTCTTACTCGTTCATTTTCAGCTTTTCCAAATGTGCATGTCTGTGTGTGCTTGTATGTTTCCTTTAAACAGGTGGATAATTTTAATCCAACATTTTATTTTTGTTCTATTAAAATATTAAATATTTAAAAGTACTTTTATTTGCTGTGCAACCCACATTTTTCTTCAAACTTCAGTTTTCCCATCTGTAAAGTGGCTGGATTATCCCCAGCAGTATTTCCAAATCATATTTTCATAGTGCTTTGAGAATACTTTACCAATAAATTTTTAACAACTACCCTGAATACTTTGTGTTTATGATAAATGGTGAAACGATTGAGGTTTGAATGCAGTTTCCTATAATAACACTAAACATCATTTAGATTTATTGGTTAATTATTCACCATCTTTATCCAAATTTGAATCTTTGTGCTGCAAAATGGGAACTCTTAGAGTGACATTTATTTCCCATTAACCTAATGAGCTTTCCCCCTCTTTCCTCTCCTGTAGAGCGGTTCATTATGAAGGGGAGGATGACTTGGTCTGACTTTGTTGTGAATTTTGTTTGCAGTGCTCCCTCTGGAAGGGACATGGTGCCAGCAATTTCAAGCATTCTCTGGCAGTGAAGATTATAGAGTCTGAGCTTTCCCTGCCATGTGGTCAGTGCCAACATCAGGGAATGTCCCTGATGCCAGTTTCTTCCATAAGAGAATTAGAAGAGATGTGTGCAGAGTAAAAGCAGATGCAACAACAGGATAGGAGCAAAGCCCACTGCTGGACTGTTATTATGGTAAAAAGCTGGGCTCCAGAGTAGCTTGGTCTGGGCACAGGTAGCGGTTCCACCAGGTATTTTGTAAGAGTCATTACAGACTTATAGGCCAATGCTGAAATCCTGGGTTCAAATCCATACACAGCCACTTGGTATCCTGGGGCAGGTCACTTGCCTTCTCTGTGTCAGCTGTACCTCCATTTCCCCATGACACTATATACTTAAATGCCTTTGGTAACTTCTCTTTGTGACCTGCCCCCATCCTGAGGTTTCTTTTTTTTCTTTTTTTTTTCCCCAGTACCAGGAATCAAACTCATGACCTTGTGCTTGCCAGGCAGGTGCTGTGCCACTGAGCTAAATCCCCAGCCCCTCATCCTGAGGTTTCACAGCATCATAGAAGTTACCCAGCATTCTTCTCTCTGCTCACACAGTGCCCTCCAGCACCTCCTCTTGGAAGCAGCAGTAGTTCTCGGGAGGAGGAGGAGTACTTCCACATCATATCCCATCCCATGTCATCAAGGGTGATGCTCTTCTGTGCCTCCAAGACACTTTTTTAAAAAATGAAAAAGCAAAACTTACCTTGCTAATGTGATCTCTTACTAAGATTTCCTCTTTCCAGCCAGGAAATCTGGATTCATATCCCAATTCTGCCACTTACTTGCTGCTAGCCTTTGAGCAAATTACTTCTATCTGCTGTAAAACAGGAATCATAAGGCTACACACCTCATAGAGCCGTCATCAGATTAAATGTATCAATAGCCACTAAATATTTGGAATAGTCCCTGAAATTTAGAATTCTCTCTATAAACACAAACTACTACTATTTTTATAAAGGCAATAATAATAATAAGGTCTGTTGTTAAGTGATTGTCACAGGAATTAAATGTAATAACATATGACAAAGAGCCTGGCTCAATGCCTGGCTCTCAGTTCAGTTCAATAGATTGTGTGTGTGTGTGTGTGTGTATTATAGCAATATTTTAACTTACCAAAGCAATAATACATCTGAGAAAACAGGCTAAATTTTAAGAACCAATTCATTTTTCAAGGGATTCCAAACTGGTGGTAGAGAAATAGTAACATCAAATCTGCAGGAACACATTCTAGTCATCAGACAATACCCATAATCCCTTCTATTTGTAGAGCACTTGACAGCATACAGAGCGCTTTGTGATCCATTATTGCACATGATCGTTGTCTTATCTCAACACAGAAGACAGGGATTTCTCTTAACCTCTCTTCTTGTAGACAGGGAGAGCCAGAGAGCTGGTGTGTGACTCAGCCAAGATTCCTGCCACCACCGAGGAGCAAGCTGGGGTTTAAAAGCAGGGCCACATTGTTCTCCTGGGAATACTCTGGACATTCTGAGCATCCCAGGAAATAGTTAGCATGTGGCATGGAGGGATCAAGTCCCAGTGTGTAGAAATGAAATTCCAGAAAGGAGCCACCTGTTCCCTGTTTTCTGTAAAACTTCCCATCTGATGGATGGTGCTGTGTTCTTTGCTTTGTCCCCTGAAGAGCCCCATCCAGGGGCTGTTTTGCTCAGGGACACTAATCTACTGCTCTGGAGGCTGGTGCTCTGTTCCTTGGGGGGACGGCGTGCTGCTGGGATTCCGTGTGGGGCTCCAAGGTCTCTCTGCTTCTCCTTGCCTTTGTACTGTTGACTGCTGGAAGCTGTGAGGTGCTCAAGGTCACCCTCCCTACTCCCAGCCCATTAAGTGGCTTCATGACATACTTGATCACTGTCCCTGGAAATTCACAGTTCTGGGAGAAGGGATGTGCTCAGTTCTGGGTAAAGATCCCTCCCTCTGCACAAAGTGATTTCATCTGTCTGTCCTTAAATTGGCAAAGGCGACCAGCTCAAGGGACAGAACAGCATGACTTAGATCTTGAAAAGGAACACAGTCATTGTTTGCTGAGGTATGACATCTGTGCGGGTAGGCACAGTATATCTCACATGTACAACCTGTGGTGTGACACACAGGTAGAGAAGCACCTTACATCCCCTTTGTATAGCTCCATGAGTCCCCATACACTCATCAGGCAACCCCCAGACCTGTAGCAACTTCATGCTCATCACTACCTGTCCGGGGCTGTCCTGGCCTCTCAGCAGAGCCTGGCCACCAGCTGAGGAACTCACCTGGCACAGGAGACTTTTAGGAAAAGAAGGGAAGTCATATCAATGGCTTGGTACTGAAGGTAGGACAGGATGACTTTGGACCCTGATGCTGTGATGACAGTCATGACGGCAGCTCACATTTGTTGGGTACCAGTTCTGTGCCAGGCATAAGGCTGAGCTCATACTTAATTTTCAGAGTAACTCTGTGTGGTTGGTGCCAGTCCCATTTTACAAATGGGGAAACTGAGGGTCAGAGAGGAGGGTCTTGTCCAAGATCTTGTAACATGGGAGGCAGAGGCAGGATCCAAGGAATTTTGACCCTGGACACTGCTTTGCTAGGCTCATGGGCCTTCTCTTGTCTTCCAGATTGGCCACCGGGACTTTGATGTAGAGAAGCGACTGCGAAGGGACCTCCGGAGGACTCATGCGCTGCTCTCAGATGTCCAGCTCCTTCTGGCAACCATGGAAGACAGCAAAACGTCAGTCAGCAAGGAAGAGCTGGAGAAGGTGCACAGCCAGGTGAGTGTTGCTGGGTCCTCTTAGAAACTGGGCTGGGAGGACACACTCCCCTCACGTCATGCACAGGGGCCCAGTTTTCAGACACCTGCAGTGAGGGGGATATTTTGGGGGAAGCAGCATGGCCAGCGGAGGTGGGGTTGGGGTGGTGGTGGTGGTGCTTATGAAGGATGGGGACACTTGATCCACTCTTTTAAACTGAGGCACAGTGTGTCCATCTCAAGGGCTGGTGCCCAAATGGATAAGCATAGAGTGTGCATGCATGAGAGAGAGAGAGAGAGAGACAGACAGACAGACAGGCAGACAGACATAAGGAGAGGGAGCGGGGGTGGGTGGAGAGAAAGAGAGGGAGAGGAAGGGGGAGGAGAGAGAGAGAGAGAGAGAGAGAGAGAGAGAGAGAGAGAGAGAGAGAAAGAGAGAGAGAGAATCACCAATGCTGGTACAGACCAAACAGTAATAGTGTTAATGATGCAAACTCAGCTCCCAGCAGCAGCAGCAATTGCAGCAAGCTAATGATGTTGACCAAACTATCTGTTAGCCACTGGCTGTCACTCTGGAAGCTCCTGCCCATGCCCAGTCCTGGGTCCTCAATATCAGTAATATCTGTTGTCATACGGTGTTCTCAGGTCAGCTGAGAGCAGTGAGGACCATCAGCTGACTCCATTTCACAGTGAGGTGCTGGGTGACAGAGAGATGAGATGGCCCCCACAAAAGCGTGTGGCTAGAGGATGGTAGGATCCGAATTTGAATCCAGGTCTTGTGGCTCCACCGTCTTTGGTAGCCTCAGAGGAGGACCTGAGCAGCAGGTATCCAGGTGCAGGGATGTGAAGGCCAGGCCAGGAGCTGGGGACCTCAGGTGACATGAGAAGCACAGGCTGTGTCTGCTGCAGAGTGTGGCTTAGGGCAGCAGTGTTGAGAGCCGTGAGAGCATCTTTCGGGGCAGTTGAAGCCCTGGGGAGAGGCCCCAGGGCCGAACAATGTCTCAGGGACTTGAGATTCGCTGCTGGGAATGTTGAACTGAGGGGTGTGTTCCTGCTCATCTTCTGTGAGAATGTCCTGATGTCACAGTGCTCAAGCCTTCCTTCCCCGCAGGTGAAGTGAATGTACTTGAAAAGGAATTGTGGTGCTTTTTCTTCTTTTTCTTTTAAAAAATATATTCATGAGAATCCTCTCTCTGCAGGGTTAAAATGTGTGTTCTTGGGAAATAGTGGTATTTAATGAAGGCGCCTTGAGCTGAATCAAAGAGTCTCATTCTTCTGAAACTCGTCCTCCCCCAGTCTCTGCATCCGGCTCCTATCAAAGGGAATCCACAGCTTTGGCTTTCTGATGCTGTTGTCATGGAAATCGTTATAAGGATGGGATCGCATGGACCAGAGGTCAGGGTACAGTTGCTTTGGCTTCCAGCACACGTGTCCCGGATGCCGGAGTCAGACCTAATCAAATAAAGCAGCGGTGACACTGGGCATTGCTGCCTCTCCTCTCTGATGGATGGCATTTGTCCTTTGCCTGAAAGCTGCAGGGCCAGAGGCAGGGAGAACAAACAGGAAAGGGAGGACAGGGAGTGAGTTACTTTTGCTGCTGGCTGCTTCTTAAGTGTTGGCTATGGTGCTGAACATGGCCAGGCACTTGTATATGCAGAAGTATTTGTGCAGCACCTACTGTGTGTCACCTGGCAGGCTAGCTGTGTGTCACATGCTTTCACAGGCAGGAAAGAGAGAGCAAGACAGGCTGGTACCCACCTTTGTGGAACTTTATCTGATAGAAAAGGAGACAGATGCACAGTACAACAAGTAATTGAGATAATCCCACACCTTTGGATGTGGAGAGAAACAAGCAAGGTCATGGGTTAGGGAACTGCAGGGAAAGTCTCCTTTATAGTAGGTGACCTGCTGTGGTACCCCGGGAGGAGGGGCAGGCAGAGACTGGCACTCAGAGGGCCTGGGAGCTTAGGATTTTACTCCAAAGGGTGAGAAGCCAGTGGCAGATTCTGAGCAGAGCATGGCGGAATCACACCCTAGGCTTTTCATTTTTATTTTATATTTTTATTTTGAGATAGGGTTTCACTACATTGCCCAGGCTGGGTTGGAGCTTGGTGATCCTCTTGCCTTAGCCATCCGGAGTGCTGGGATTACAGGTGAACTCTACCACACTCAGCTCCATTCATGGCTTAGAGCCTCACTCTTCTGGGGGAGAAGGGGTTGAACAAGAGATGTGTGGATACCCTTAGGAGGCTAAAGTACCTCTGTGGCTGGAAGAATGGGCATCTGGGTTGAACAGTGTTAACAGAAAGGCCCAGAAGAGATAACCCTGGGCTCTTTCGGAAGTGATGGGACTCACAGTAAGGTTTAGTTAGTGTAAGAGCACATTCTTTCAGATAATCCTTGTCCTCTGTTGGCGCCTTTGACCCGTTTTACTAGGAAGGAAGCAGGCTCTGAGAGGTTGAGTGCTTTACCGCAGGGCACACAGCTGGCAAGTCTGGACACTGTGAATGCCAGCTCTCGCCACTTGGTTTGCTTCATATTTGTCAATCACCTTTTGTGTACCAGGATTTTCCTTAGTGCTCTGTGGACCCTCAGAGTTGGCTGTACATTAGAAGACTTTAGCATCACTTAAAAACCCTTGATTCCCGGATCCTACCCCCTAGATATTTTTATTTTTCTTTTCACTACGTCTGGGTTGGAACAAGATTTGCATTTTAAAACAACTATATCCAGAGCTTCCGGTGCTGTTTTTAAGACAAGCATTTGGGAACCAGAGGCCTCCTTTATCCCACAGAACACCCTCTCGAGCTGGGTGGCCAGACGTCCATCCTGCAGACGAGGACACTGACTGTGAGGTGGTATCTGTGTGACGGATCTTAGTTCTGTCAGTTTCATAACTGAATTTAGAACCAAGAGACATAGTTGCAGCACTTGCTCACTTTGTGACCTTCAAGCATTGTTACCACCCGAGCCTCTTCCTGAAGTGGAGTGTCGCCGCCGCTTCACCCAGGTGCTCCTGGATCTGATGAGGGGAGAGCTGGCTAGGGCTTCAGATTGAGGACTGGGCTCAGGACTCTCCAGCTCTCTCGTGGGCTGGTGGATGACACGGTGGGGAGCACCTGCTCGTGAACCTCGTTCATTCCAGGCATGGTCTTCACTCTGGGGTGAGCTAAGGGTAGGTTGCAAAAGGAAATGACAAGATCTCGGTGTTGGAGGGGCTCCCAGGCCAGTGGGAAGTGGACCTAGAAGCAGCCTGTAGTACGGCAGGGGGTTGGCTGTAGTGGAGAAGCAGCTGGGTTTGACTAAAGAGGGAGTCCTTACTGTTGATTTGGGAGAGGACCTGGTAACTTCAGCTCTTATTCAAGATAAATTGTTGGTTAGGAAAGACAGATGTGGGCCTTCTAGGAGGAAGCCACGGTACATGAAGAGATGGAAACACCCGGAGACAGGTTGTATGTTAGGCTTGGCGTGGCCTTTCTGGGGTATAAAGTACTCAGGAGGTGAGGATAGAGGGGGTGGTGCCAGTAATAGAAGCCAAAACTGGCTTGTAAGTGATCTAATGATCCCCTGGCTGAATTTGTCCCAAAAGTAATAGGGAGTGATAGAAAGCTGTTGGGCAGAGGAGGATACTACTGGAAGCACTTGGGAAAAATGGCAGGATTCCAGTCTGTAGCTAGCACTGGAGCCCTGACGTACAGAATATCAGGCTCAACTGGGACCATGGGAGCCCCCTTAGACAGAGCATCTCCTGTCCATATGGACAGGCTCCCCTCAGCCAACTGTCCCAACATTTGGAGCCTAAGAGAATTGTTCAGTTCTTTCCATCTATTTTCCTCCACTGGAAAATTTGGGTATATCTCGGTAAACACTTGCAGAGGAAACCCCTCCTGGTGACACACAGGGGACTCCCAGAGGCTGCAGAGAAGCAGCATGCCTGTAGGGTTCAAATCCTGCGTCCTCTATTCAGGACCTCTGTGATTTCAGGTGAGGCACCTTGCCTTTCAGAAATGGTGATTTATTAGCTAATAAGGATCTGAGTATTTGTGGCTGATTGGGTTGGTAGTATACAGAGAGACCCTAGATTGGAAAGAACTCTCTGAACTGCAAACTCTGAGACCATCGTTGAGATAGAATACTTTCTCTTGGCTCCCTTATTCCACTCCGTGTGTTGGGCGATGGAAGGTATTGGCCTCTGGGCACATGATTTCATAAGACTTCTTGGAACAGGTAGGTAAGGCAAAGGGTGGGGTTGATCTCATGACACCTGTTCTTTCAGAGCCAATTACTAATTAATTCCCATGGAACAGTTTCCACTGGAAACAAACTAATCTGGAGACAGAAGCAGTTCAACAACCAAGATACATAATTGAGATAATCGCTGCGCATAAATAACATCTGTGAGTAGCAGATGCTGGCACCTGCTCCAAGGAGAAACTGGAGGAGGATGTCTGCTCTGGGGCACTGGTTGGTTACTTGGTTGGGTTTTTTTGATTGCTGTTCCAGATTGATTCATGTCTTTGACCTTTGTCTCCTCCCCAAAGGAAACATGTTATTTGCTTGTTGTTAAATAGAGAAAGACTTGCACTGAAGCTTTACTTCTTTACTTAACTCATGTGGGAGACTGGATTCACCTCTTCCTGCTAAGCTCAAAGCTGCCACCAAGTCTCAGTCACTGTACCCCCTAAACAGCTCTATGGCTCCTCCCGCCTCCCTCTCTCTGTCCTGGTCTCCCTCGCTTGGATTTCTCTCAGATCCACTGGCTTCCAGTCTTCTCCACATAATCTTTCTACCACCAGATATTTGGAGAATCTTAAAATGCAAATAGTGTCTTGGGTTTTTGTATTCAAGATCCTTAAGTGGCTTCCTGTTGGTCTCAGCTTACAGTCCACGTTCTTTCATTGACTTACACAGTGCAGAGTCCTTTTTCTGCCTTGGTGTCCCCAAACCTGTCCCTACTTTGTCACCTCTTCCTAAATTGCATCCTGTGTGAGGCTCTTGCCCCTACTCTCAGCTCTTTCTCTA